CACACACACACACACACACACACACACACACACAATCACCGAAATTAAAGCGCAGTGAGAAGAAAGGCAGCTACACAGTGTGAGCAATAACCTATAGATTCAATGTAATTCAGAGCAAGCTTGTCTTGTCAGACCTGTCATTTATTCTTTTACCTAGATTTAGTTTTTCTTTGTGTATGTAATTTTTCAGTTTCTATGCTTGTGAAGCACTTTGTAAACTTGATTTTGAAAACTGCTACATAAATAAAGTTGAATTATTAATTTTCATCACAAAGTAAAATGTCCGGAACCCTGATTCCTCTCTATACCGACAGTGGTGACGTATATTATTAGAGGCCATCTCAAAAGTGAGCATCACCCTCAACAGAAAACCAACAGGCTCTTTCTATTGGTTCGTGAATTCCAGCAAATGCAAACAAGAGTTAGCGACGCTCACATGTTGTCATAGTGACGAACACAAGTGAAGAAGACAGTGAGGCTACAAACAAACTATCTCGTCACATAATAGAACAGAGTCCTCAGTGTGATGGAGTGAATATACACGTGTGCTGGATTTAAATGGGCCAATAATCTGCTGTGGTGTCAGATTAGTGCCACTGTGGAAGTGGGTTAATGCTGCAGATCTGTCAGGTGAGAACGTCGCCTCACACGTTGTTCACCTGCAGCTGCAGAACGACGTCAGGAGCAAGATCACGTTATGCATAAAAAAAACATTTGCATGATTCAGGCAGTTAGAGGAAACTCTCTCTCTCGAGGACACTTTTACATTTACATGATAATAAATCAGTTTAACTAGAATCAGGTTTCACGTCCACACACAGTCGTGTTCGCAGAAGACTGCAGGTGTAACAGGCGTCTAATGATTCATTTCTTCAATGTTGTTATTGTCTTTTAATGTGCATTTAACTTTTCAATCTGGTTTGAACTTTGTTTTCCTCTGCACAGCACTTTGCATCTGCTGTATCATCTTTCTGATCAGACAGCGTCTTTTAAAAAAGTCTTCTTGAAACAGATTTTATTCATGTTTGACGTAAGTTGTGTTTTATTGTCACGTGTCCTTTTATTCTCCTCTGTTTAATGAACCAAAGACCGTTCTCTTGTTTTAGCTGCTGTTCTTTTTATGAACAATGTTCTTTCTGTTCATTGTGTCTGTGTAAAGTAGAGTGGTACCTTGATGAGGTTTATTTATTAACTATTATCTGAAACCAGTCAAAAGGAGGAGTTGTACTTGTCAGTGCAGAGACACGAGGACATGAGGACATATCTGATCTAACTTTAGTTTTACTTTATTGTGACACAGCCTGGTATCATCCGTCCCGTCTAAAAGCAGGTATCCACAGAGAAGTGGAGACAGTAATCCTTTAAGAGGATCAGGGCTGAGATCCGGGGGGAGGGAGGGAATCAGGATCCGCTGACAGTCTAACGTATCCTGTCATCTCTGAACATGTGGTCGTTTTAAACGTGCTCCGACACTTTGATGGAGTTTCTTTTTTCTGCCTCTAATGGAACAGACAGTGATGGAGGCTGGTTTTGATCGTCGGGGGACTGAGACGAGGAGGCGTTGAGGTAAAACACTGATGAGTTCCTGAACGTTACGTATTTTAAAGTGTCACAGTTTTAAAGTCACTGGGAGCAGAACTGAATAAATGTGGATGAATTAACCATGAGAACAGAAAACAACTAAAGCAACGAATCAGTGTCGTTTACATATAAAACTATATAAATATACTCATGAGTGAAATAACCTTTTAAACTGACTGTTTCTGATCGTCTAACACTTTATTACAACTCTGTAATTTACCTTTCACTTTGATTTGCAGTTGACTTTTAATATTAATAACATGTTTGCAGGTTGTAAATGCTTAACAGGTGGGTTTTAAATAAAGTTTGAAGGTTTGAATGTCACATTTTCTCTCACAGAAATAGTTTCAGGGTAAATGTTGAACTTGTGTTTGATTCTGGGTCAAATATTGAAATATCAGATGTTAAGTTTGGATAAAAGAACACGAACATTGGGTCAAAACAACCCGGTGCAACTCAAAAATATAACCCAAGCTGCTAATTGTTCTTTATTCTGACGCAGCAATATGACCTTTGTTGATTTCTAAATAAAATCCACTGTGAAGACATGAAGACGTCAAATCAAATTCAAACCGGCTCCATCGTTTCCTCGCAGGACGCCATGGCAGTGCTGGAGGTGACCTGCAGCCTGATTGGCTGGTTGTGTCTCTACCTGTTGTTCTGCTGCACCTTCGCTGAGCGGGGGCCCGAGTGGAACTGTCGTCTGGTCACTTTGTCTCACGGGGTCGTCATCGTGCTGCTGACGGCCTACGTGGTCTTCATAGATGGACCCTGGCCCTTCACACACGCGGGTCAGTGGAATGAAGCAAACGCACACACACACAGTTTATATTCAGCGAAGCTGTGAGGCCCCTGGCTGCTGTGAGGCCCCTGGCTGCT